TTTGGTTACTGATTCGGTCACTGATAGTAACTAAATTTTTCGGTCACTGATTTCGGTTACTATTTGACATTTTTCTAGTAGTGAATGTTGTAAGCATTTTATCTTAGTTTATGCATTGTCCAAGTGAAATGTATCTCAAGATTGTAAATGACATGTCAAAGGCATGTGTAATTTTGATATCAAGTTCAAGTGGACTAAAGAATTTAAGCTAAAAGGTTTCTCGTATAGTAATTGGGTGACTCAATTGATGATACGATGAGTATCTCATAATTTTATCTTTGAAGTATTTTTCTCCTAGAGTTCAAAGAAATAAGAAATTGATGTATAATCTACCATAAAAGTTCAATTAATTGTTGTTATAGTAGATATTAACTGAGTCTTGTGGTCGAAGAAAATTTAACAAAATACACAAGTTTTTATTAACAATCAAACTAAAATAAAAATTTCCCATAATCCATAATCTTATCTTTCATTGAAAACCAAATATTTTATCATTAAGTTGTTCTTAATTACCAAAAGATGGAATTGTTGTTCTTGTTTAATACAAAATTGAAAACTAGGTTATAAATTTGTTTACCACTTGCAATCACTAAGTTTGAGCTTTTAAGATATTAGAGGTTATAGTTTCTAAATAAAGGCAAAGTGTTGAATATTTATTTTTAGATTACACGTGACATCTTTATATTATATTTTTCTATTTTAATCGTAGAATAAGTTTTCTCTAGTTTAAGTAATTATTCTTGAACTTAAACAAAAAAATCAATTAATTTTTTTTTATTGTAAGTGTTATAAATATATTGATAGTTCAAATATAAAATAATAATAATCTATTTTATTTCAATTATTCTTCCTTTTTTAATATTTTATTTCGTTTATTTGCTACTCGTCTTTATTATACAAAACAACAACTTGCAATTTTGTTCATCTACACGAATAGTAAAGTATTCATGTTTCATGTGTAACGTCATTTTTTTTTCTAATTTATTTAATTTCTCAAAAATGGGAATAATTTTTTTTACAATATTATTTCTTTATGACAATGAACTTTAAAATTGGTCATGCGTGAATAAATATATATAAATAAGGTGTCGAACATGTTCATACATAACATTCATAATCATAATACATTGTTTTTCAAAATAACTAATCCAACAAGGATCATATTATAATTACATAAAGTTGGTACCCTTAAACGATTAGAACTTAATTTAAATTTATACATCTCAAAATAAAGCAAATCCTAATCGGAAGCGAGTACCCAAAATTCCTAACTTTCTTATACAAGATCATACCCCTCCCAGAGGGCAGTATTCTTCCATACATATGTATATGATACTCAATCAAACTGTGGTTCCTCCACCATAATTGTTCCATCATTACCTGAAATATAACAGTAAGGATGAGTTTCCTTTTCTCATCACTGCAGAACACTAAACCGAAAATTTTTCCAACCTCTACAATCTAAAACCATATGTAACATTTATAGTCAAACATTTCATTTTTTTTCAATAAAGTATCCCACATAGAAATTTCAAACAATTTCCACAAATCACATTACTCAAACTAAAAACACACAATACATGTTTGTGTTTCATTCGTTCATTTTTACCACATTTGAAATGCTCATGCACCTAGGATACACTATCAAGCCCATCTTTCAATCCATGAAAGGATCACACATAAGTATATACAACTCTCACAAACATAACAAAATTACACACGAGCATAAATGACTCACAGAAGTATAGATAGTTGTCGGTTGATCTGCGCATCACAGATACAATGCTTACGCATAACGATCCCTTGGAAAAAAGGCAAAGTCAAAGAGTCAAGTCGGGAGTATAGAGCGTGGCCAAACAATGCACTCTATATTTCCCCAAGATCAATCTGATCTTCTCTTATCTCCTAAGCCCCCGGTGTATCTCCGTATCATCCACACACATATCTCGTCACTGAGTGACACCACCAACTCTTTAACAACAATATATTTGGTAGGAACAAACTCTACATCATACAGACCATATCACTATAGACATAATACCCTATTTTTAGATGACCAACATCTCTGACTTAGACTCAGCACATAGTACAAACAGCTTATAGACATGATTTCCACTAACTACCATGATTATGAATGCATTAACTATTCATAACGTTTCTTTATACCATTCTTATTAAGCTTTATTTATTTTTCATCAATTTCAAAAATTTGACAGAGTCTCCTTTGTAATTTGGACATTTCCCAATTTACAAATATATTCAAATCAAATTTATAAACACATTTTCATGCATTAAACAAGAACAATAAAAATTTGCCGAGAGTCGGACACTCTCGGACTCAGCACACATTGCGATCCATCAAATTTTCTAAACTCTTGTTATTCTAATCTTGTGTCCCAAAATGTCTCAGTACACTATCATTCTCACATCATACATACTCATAAAATAAATAATAGGTCCAGAACTAAAGTTTTGTTTACACTTCTCTAGGAAGAAAAATCTATCATAAGCATTAGAAAAGTGTAACTTTGGAAAAATTCTTTGCCATCTAAACTAACTCCAAATTCTATGAAATTTTCCAGTCCAAAATACATATATTCTAGGATTATAATAAAAATTATAATTCAAAATTTAAAGATTTCTAAGTCATTCAAAACTTTCCTCCATTTTCATATGTTTTGAAGATTCCACTATCGTGGCCTTACTCAAAGATATATTTTTATAAAATAAAATAATGGTCATAAAATTATGAAAATAAATACACTTAACATATACCTACAATCACAACTATGATAAAAAAATTCATCTCAAAAAAAACTTCAATTTCGATTTTCTATGATTTTTCAAAGTTTCTGAGCCAACATAACAATTCTGTTTCACCCAACTCAAAACATATTTACTTCCAAGATTTTTCATCGAAAATCAACTGGTCAGAAAATTTTGAAATAAATCACACACAAACTAGACATATAAAAGAACATGTAATCAAAATTTCAGAATTAAATACCAAGTAAATATTTTTACATAATTTCCCAAAGATTCTATTCACATGCAGATTCTTGTCCAATAACATCTCTCAACACATATTTCATCATCTTCCTCTAGAAAAATCCAATTTAAGTGATTTTTATGGCTAACTCTAGGTTTTAACATCCAAGGAATCCATTTCTAAACTCTAAAATATGAAAGGAGCATTGTAGAGTATCTAAATATACTAGAATAGCCATACGAAATTTTTATAAAACATTTTAATTTGGTTCCAATTAATGTAGAAGTGAGATAAATAATGGTTTAGCCTAGGGTTGATGACAAGAAGACTCTCCTTACCTCAAATGAAGCTTTCAAACAAGAAAATGGAGATCCTTAGTTCAAGAAAAGTTTGTCTCCTATAAGCATCAAAATGACTATATATTTGAGATTAAGAAGATTTTAGGAGATAATATTGAAATCCAATGCTTTAATTTCATGAATCTTACTCTTAATTGCAAAAAGGATGAACCAAGATGGTGTGGACAAGCAAAACCAAGCTTCTCTTCTTTCTCCCGTGCTCCCAAAATGGTTTCCGTAAGTGAGAAAGAAAATTGATCTTTCTCTTCTTTAAATTTAACCTCCTTTCCAAAATTATCCTCACTTACTTTTTCACTTACCAATTAAATCCTTTCATCAATGGTAAATTATATTACTAATTTTGCTTAATGATATTACTCTTATTATTATTATTACTTCATTTTAAACTCAATTGTAAATTTATCTATTTCACTCTATTAAAAATTTCATAATAATATATATATATATATATATATATATATATATATATTATTTATTAATATCTTTAAAAATTATCAAGTCTTAAAATAACTCATAATACCATTTTATTAAAGTTAATGACAAAATATTTTATTATATTAATGAAATATTTTTGGGAAATACTGGATGTTACATCACGTGCATTTAGGTCGGTGATGAAAACAACAAGTGATAGAGTAATTCCAAGGGCAAGACTCGAATTAAAAAAAAAAAGATTTATCAAACTTTTTTTACCTTTTTTATGAATGATAATGGAATATATAAAACTCTCTAAGTGTGAAACAAAAAAATTATAATGCTAATTTTTTTTCACATTTTGTTAAACTTAAGAAAGGTATAAAAACGGATTATGTTTAACGGATTTTAACCTGTTATAATATGACAAAACCCACTAGCGTCTTTAGATGGAACGGATCGATCCGTGTGGTCTGTCTAATTAATAAAAAAATAATTTTTTATTGTAATGTATTTAATATAAAGTTAAAAATTGTAAAAAGAGAATTAAAAAAAATCATTCTCCCTCATTATAGGAAACATTTTACTTATTTAGATACAAATTCTTTTCTTCTTTTCTTTTGTTACTCATCATCTTTTCCTTATTTATCCTCAGGATTGATTATTATTATTCTTATAATTTGAATTAAAGATGTAAAAATTATTTAAGGAGAAAATAATGTAAAATTTTATCAAATAAAAAAGATATAGATATTTACAATTTTTTAATATAAAAATATAAATTTTACAAATTTTAACGTTATTTATATATATTTATTATTATATAAATTTTATTATTATTCTGAATTATAATTTCTTAAAATAACGTGTTGATTTATATTATTAATTTAATATATATATATATATATATATTAATTATTAATAATAAAATGATAATTTAATTATTAAATTTATTAAAAAAATTTTAATTTAAAAATAATAATTTTTTTTTTTAATTATAGCAATCTAACTTACCAATCCCTTCTTTGACATGTAGCAAAATTTACAACTTATCATAACTATGGACCACTCCATCCGCCACATTATTGGAGAGTTGGAGGGTGAAATGCAGATTTTGCTATCCCAAAATTAAGATGATAACATATGACAATTTCATATTCATAAACCAAATTGATAGTTTTCTTGTATTAATTACCAAACAAAATAACACAGTGAAACTACATAGTTATGATCATTAATCATCTGACTTTGTGTTTAGGAGTTGCAGGCATTTTGAATACAGAGTAAAACAATGTTCTGGACTGGGAAATCAATTTCTCTCCCATGTCTTGAAGAATCTCTCCGTAGTGGTACAACATTGCTCCATTTTGAGCCAAATTCTTAGCCCTTTCTACCTCATCCTCATTATTTGAACTTGGATTCACCCTCTTCATCTTCAGAACGTACTCTCCATCGCCCACTATCTCAAATTCAACTTTCACTTCAATATCATCATCTAATAATTGTTCTTCCCCTGCCAACTTGGACACTTTCTTAGCTGATTTATAACTATCCATATTCTTCTCACCTACACAATCATAAACAAAGCAATTCACCTTTATCCATACTATGTCATATTTTTTTATCTTATTATTCTTATTTATCATATATCAAATTTTATCTTAATAAAATAATTGTATTTTAAAGGATTAAAGGAATTGATAATTTAAACTTTTATTACTTGAACTAATTGAATAAGAATTAACTTATTAAATATTTCCTTATAAACTATATATTTCATATTTTTAAATGACATCTTAAAAATGAATTAACTTATATATAATCAAATATTTGAATATAGTATTATAATAATAATGTTATAAATATTCAAATATTTGAATACAGTGTTATAATAATAATAATGTTATAAATAAAAAATGATTAAATATTTCTTTTACATACATATTTTAATATAAATATAATAAATTAAAATGTATATTTAATTAATAATAATTATAAAATTATAAATATTTATTTATATATAAAAAATAGATAGTAAAATTAATTTATTATAAATGTAATTATCTTTTTAAAAATAATATAGATTGGGGACGGGACGGGGTGGGGAACCCGAAACCCAGTGGGACGGGGATGATGACTTAATTTCTAACTTCGACGGGGATTGGGGATAGGGACGGAAATGGTTAAAAAAGTCGGGGACGGGGATCGGAACGGCAAAATCCGCCCCCACCCCTGCTCCGTTGCCATGTAAATAATAACTTTTCATATATATATATATATATATATATATATATATATCCATTTTTTCTCCTCAGAAATTTTCTTCAAAATTTCATTTTTCTGTTTTAATTATCAATTATTAGATGTTTTGAAATTCAATGTACTTAAGTTATGTTTGGCAAGAAAAAAGTAGCTGAAAAACTAGTTAACAATCAAAATATTAGTTGGTCGCTAATAGCATAATTAATTTTATATAAATTTTAATTTTATTCAATGGATAAAAATATATTTTGATGGAAATTTTATTTAATTAATTAATTTCTTGTATTCTTTTACTTATAGATAATAATTTTAATTATATTTATTTTAGTTTTAATTGTTATATTTTTTTAATATTGTATATTTACTGTAAATGTTTGCTATATCTTAAAAAATTATTTTTAAATAGTCCATGAATTAAAAGTTATAAATTTTAATGTAGTATTTCAAATATCTTGTAATATAACGTTTCAAACAATAAAATAGTATCATGGTTAAGATACAAATTATAATATAAAATCTATTTAAAAATAATAAAATTGAATAAATCTTAACGCATCATATAATAAAATAAATATTGTAAATAATAAATGATATAATAATTAAAGAATGATGTAATGTAAAATATTCAAATGATAATAATAATAAACTTTCTTCTATTAATTAACTTTTTTGAGAACAGCTACTTTTAAATAACATTAAAAAAACATTATAACCTATTTTAAAAAATATATTTACTAAACACTTCTAACTAAAATAAGTTTTCCAACTAAATAAAAAAAAATATTAAACCTAACTTAAATAGTAGTATTAATGATGTATTCATATTTTCAATGTCAGCCCATGCATAATTTCTTTTGTCCTAGAATGACAATTAAACACGTATTCGTAGGGACAGACCCATATTACCCTAAGTTTGACGAGGAAAATCTGAGTTGATCGGGGGCGGGGACGGGTTTGAATTTTCCCCACTTTAAAAAGTCGGGGCGCGGGGATGGGTAATACAATCCCCACCCCGACCCCGTCCCGACTTTATATTTAAATTTAAATTTTAAAATATTAATATTTTTAAAGTATTTCCCTTTCTGTTTCTATTACATATAAGATCATTTTTTTATATTTCACAATTTTTATTTTTCTTCTACCCACTTTTTAATTTTTTTTAATATTTTATATCAATTAATTTATTACATTATTCTCTCTTACCTTTCTGTTTTTCACATTTTCTTAATCACTCGTTATCAATTTGTTTTCTTTTTTAGTCTTTTCAACCAATTTGATGAAGACAAAGTTAATTTTTTTTCTTATCTTTTTCTAAATATTTTACATAAATCTTAGTAATAACTAATATTATTTTATTTATAATTTATATTTATTAGGTTTTATTATGTTATAATTTTTTATCTTATTAATCATATATCAAATTTTATTTTAATAAAATAATTATATTTTAAAATATTAAAAGTAATTGATAATTTAAACTTTATTACTTTAAACTAATTAAATAAGAATTAACTTATTAAATATTTTCTTATAAACTATATATTTCATATTTTTAAATTACAACTTAAAAATGAATTAATATATATATATATATATATATATATATATATAATCAAATGTTTGAATACAGTAATAATAATAATAATAATAATAATGTTATAAGTATTCAAATATTTGAATACAGTGTTATAATAATAATAATATTATAAATATTCTATATATATAAATAAAAAATAATTAAATATTTCTTTTATATACATATTTTAATATAAATATAATAAATTAAAATATATATTTAATTAATAATAATTATAAATTATAAATATTTATTTATATATAAAAAATACATAGTAAAATTAATTTATTATAAATGTAATTATTTTTTTACAAATAATATAAATCGGGGACGGGACGGGAAACCCGAAACCTAACTGGGACGGAGACTTAATTTCTAACCCCGACAGGATCAAGGACAGAGACATGCATAAAATTTAAAAACACTTCAAAGTTTTGATATTAGTTGTTGAAATATGTAGGATTTGTTGGTTTATTGTCTTTTAAAATAGTTTCTTATTTTTAATTTAAAAATTTAAAATTTGTTTAGTTCTTAAAATTATTTTTATTTTTAAATTTTTAAAAACTTAAAAAGCAAATTTACAAAAGATGTTCTTTTTTCTATTTTTATTAATGAATGATTTTAATTATTATTATTTTTATATCTACATCGATATTAAAATTATTTTTCAATTTTTATCAGGATTTTTTATATTATTTTTTTGTATATACTTTTAAAAATAAAATTATTAAAAAAATTATTTTCAAAATCAATTTTTTAAAATTATTTTCAAAAAATAAAATTCAATCAAACAAGACGTTAAAATATCATAAGGGACTAAGTTCTGAGTGGTTTTGTTAGATATGAGGTAAAATTAAAAAAAATTATAAAAAGAATTGGGATAAATTTTTTATCTTTATCAAGGTAACAAATATACTAGAGTCAAGTTTTAAAATTTAAAGATAAATTTGAGACTAAATATGATTAATATGATTTTTTAATATAATTTATTGATATTAAAATTATACATGACTAAATAATAAAATTTAATAAAAATAACAACACAAAATTAAAATATTATTGATCAAGTCAAAAAAGTTGTATTACTTGTATGCAATTATTTAAGAAAATTATAATTTCAAAAGGATATATGAAATCGTGTGAAGTTAGAATGATCCAATACACCATAAAATCATCTAATTTACTAATTTAATGAAGACATTCTCTAATTAAAACTTTTCCAAATTACTAAGACATTCCCTGTAAAAAATGTTAACTCTTCAAAACATAATCTTTATAAAACATTCTACAATTACCCTCTTCACATGTAATGACTTCTAACAATGTGGCTGCAAATTCACGTAACTAACTTTAAAATGGTTTTGTCGTCTCTGTTACACCGTAAAGTTAATCTTTTGTTTTTTTTTTCATCAAATTTCACATAGAGTTGATGACAAAAATATTTGATGTATCAACAATCAGTTATTAAAACACGTAGATTGTATTATGTAGTTAGAAAATTGGTATGTTTTTTAACATGATTGTTGTTAATAATATAAATACAGTTATTTTGTTTGAATCAGATGTTCTTTATAGCCTCATTCTTCTTCACATCGAGTTTTATCAACATTTGGAAGAGATGCATTATTATTTTAATTATACTAAAAAAAAACTTGTTTAATAGAAATATACACTACACTCATAAAAATAAATATGATTAAATTATAAAATATTTAATATGTATATTAAACATGTCTAAATTAATAATCTTAAATCAAACTATTTAAATTTTATATAAATAATAAATATAAAAATATATTATCAAAATAATATATATATATATATATATATATATATATATTTTATAAAGGATAATCCAATGATATATATCATATATTATACAAAAAATAAAAAATATACCATACCTATTCAAGCATATAGGATGTAATATTTTTTTTATGTTACAAAATTTACCATAAAAAGTATTTAATTAAGACATCTAGAATATTCTTATTAAAAAAAACAAGAGAGTAGTTCATAAAATTGGCTTGATCACAACCATCTCATCGAGCATTAGTTCATACATAAAAAAATAAAAATAAAACGCAATGCTTAAGTTAATTATGAGAAGTCAATAAATATTGTAATTCAAGATTGTCATAAATAGAATGATATAATTTATAAACTTTACCTTGACATAATCAACATTATCTTAATTATTCTTCATAAATAAAATAATATAATTTATAAACGTGTTATTATGACATAATTTAACATTATGATATAGGAATAAAATAAGATGATACAAGTTTCAATATTAATAATTTTATTAAATAGTGTGTTATATCTTAGTGTAGGAAGAAGTATTAATTTGAGACATTATTTTTTTATAATAATAATATAAGTATAAATATAAATTTCAATAAGGATATTTAAATATATTATATTTGTCGTAAAAAAAGAAAATATTTTTTCAGCTCATCAATGTAATGTAAAAATGTAATATTAGAAAGAATAAGAGAAAGGATTTAAACCAGAAATATACATAAATATCAAGAAGATTCTATATAAAAAGACCATATTATTAAATAAAAGTTCCGTGAAAACATTAAAAATCAGTATTTACTAATTACATCTCTAAACTTACACAAAAGACTCTACTAACATAACACATACCATAACAATAATATAATTTTATTTTATTAATAATTTTTTTAAATAAAAATCATTATTATATCA